GCGCTATACACAACTTTCCCAAAAACGCAGGACTTTCACCCGACTCATCAGGAGGTTGGACCCAGAGAATCTGTCAAGGATGCACGTGTGTGTGTGTGTGTGTGTGTGTGTGTGTGTGTGTGTGTGTGTGTGTGTGTGTGTGTGTTGTCATGTTTGCTCTACACAACTCCAAGGAAAAAAGCATGAAACTGTTCTGTCGGACTTTCACTTGCTCATCGGGAGGTTGAATCCCAACAGTCTGCCCAGGATGCATTTGACTGATGGGTAAGGACTCACCAATTCACCCAGAGTTAGCGATGTCCCTGAGAGAGAAAAGTGGTCGACTTTACTCACACAATCCCAGCAGACTGTCGGTCTGAACCTCTGACAAGCAATGCAGTAAATCTGAGAAACCAGTCTGTCACAGCCATAGAACCCACTCTATACAGCCGCTCGGCCATGGGTACCCACCCACTGGCAGGACCTCCAGAACGGTCCCGACCGGAGCCGCATCCATCCGACTGAGGTGCTATAGATTTCAAATGACATCTCTGAATACCTGGTGGTGTTTCAGTTTCTGCGTCACATTACATTACCTCTTCTTTCTCTCCCCCTCCCCCCCCCCCCCCCCCCCCCCCCCCCCCCCCCCCCCCCCCCCCCCCCCCCCCCTTTCTCCCATGGCTGCCCTGCTTGACTTGCTCTACATTGTAGAGGAGCCCCGCACTTCGACGCTGCAGGTGGCCAATCCACAGCTCGGTTCCTGTTACATGCTGCGCCTGCAAACAAGGGCCATTTTCAGGCCCTGTGTCGTTTCAGCCTGAAAGCCTGAAAACAAGGGTCTATAGGCCCTGTGTCGTTTCAGCCTGGAAGCCTGAAAACAAGGGCCTACAGGCCCTCTGTCATTTCAGCCTAAAAAGGGCCCTCCAGGCCCTGAGTCTTTTCAGCCTGAAACGGAAGGCCATTTTCAGGCCCTCATAAGATCGACCTGCCCTGAAACTTAGGCACCGGACCAGGGTTTTAGCACAGGCCATTTTGGGCCTGTTTTCAAGACAACCGTTGTTTGAACTTCAACGCCAGGGTCTGACATGTTTTGGCATTGGCAAGAGCAGCCTCCTGGACGGGCCAGCACTATATAAGACTGGCCCGCCCTTCAGGCTGCAGGTAGTTCATAGGGACTTCCCAGGCACTTCACATGCAGTTCAGGAGGCAGGAGGTAGTCTTCAGGATTCGGCAGCAGCACTCTGGAGGAGCGCTGCAGTAGTAGTAGTAGTAGCGTTAGCAGTAGTCTTCAGCGCTGGGCGCTA